GCAAAGTAGATCCGTAACTTCGGGAAAAGGATTGGCTCTGCGGCGGGTTGTGCACAGGGGTCCTTGTCTTGATGTCTGCGCTGAGCAGAAGTTACTTGACGCCTCTGTTGGAGAGTGGAATCTCTTTAAGCCCTAAGCCCTAAGCCCTAAACCCCAAACCCTAAACCCTGAACCCAAACCCTAATGGCCAGGCGATCGACTGCCCTTGAAAAGCCGAAGGACAGACTTATTCACGCCCGTGCCCTGGTCGTACCCATAACTGCATCAGGTCTCCGCGGCTCCAAGGTTTGTAGCCTCTGGTCGATAGGCACAGTAGGTAAGGGAAGTCGGCAAAGTAGATCCGTAACTTCGGGAAAAGGATTGGCTCTGCGGGTTGTGCACAGGGGTCCTTGTCTTGATGTCTGAGCTGAGCAGAAGTTACTTGACGCCTCTGTTGGAGAGTGGAATCTCTTTAAGCCCTAAGCCCTAAGCCCTAAACCCCAAACCCTAAACCCTGAACCCAAACCCTAATGGCCAGGCGATCGACTGCCCTTGAAAAGCCGAAGGACAGACTTATTCACGCCCGTGCCCTGGTCGTACCCATAACTGCATCAGGTCTCCAAGACTCGGTCGATAGAGCAAAGTAGGTAAGGGAAGTCGGCAAAGCGAGGTTTCAGGGGTCTGTTGGCAGGCAGGTGGGAATCGCCGAGGCTGCGAGGCTTGTGTGTCTGCGTGCGTGAGGGCAGCTGCATGAAGGGTTCGCTTGTTGGTAGGGCTTCCTTTTTTTTAGGATTGATAGGCTGCCTCACGTTCCCGCAAACTTCGGGCCTCGCGGCTCGCCTCAGGCCTCTTCTGCGCTCCCAGCGCGGACGCACCTCGAGCCTCCTGCGAAGGCTGGGGTGGTTTTGGGTTGTGTGGGGTGGGGGGAGGGGGGGTAGGGGGCGGAGTGCGGGAAGGTGTTTTTTGCGGGTTTTTCGGATCCCCCACCACCACTTCTTCAGTTCCGGCCCAAGCCCACCCAACCACCCTTTTTTGGCTGGATTTTGGGGGTTGGGTTGCCTCATTTTTTGAGACGAGCATGCTTAACAGCTCTCTTTCTTGTCATTATCTCGTCTATTGTGTTTTGGGCAGGAAGACAGGTTGTAATATCAGGACCAAAGTGGTAGTACTGCTAGCCTGCTAGCTGCTACTGTCACACCTTTCTCTCTGGCTCTCTTTTTCAGGTTTCATTTAAGGCCAACATCCCTAGGGCTAGCTGGCAATGACCTGTAGTGTAGTGTTCATGGGCTGCTGCCAGCTAGCCGGCCGCAAGCTTGAGACAACAGACACATACACATCATACACTGAACCTGCTTCCCGATGGCTGTATGATAAAGCTCAATTCAGATCAGAATGCAACATGCTACATGCAGGCCCTGGGCTATGACGCCCGCTTCCTGCACACTTCCTGTTCCATATGCCTTTGCCTCAGATTGACTTATTGGATCGATGACCGCGGCGGAGTCACTGTTTGCAGAATCGTCCATCAATTAGTGGTTGTAACAAGTGACTGCACTGAGCTTTCTTTTGATGCTCGCAGGCGTGAGTGCTTTGTGTAAGCGGCATGCTGTCAAGCTGCCACCAGCAGTTGATGCCTCCATATGTCATTCCACCCCAAAACTCTAGCACCATGTCACCATGTCCACGTCCGCTTCCAGACTCAGAGTGCAGCGACGACGCAGTGCTACACCTCTTGTAGATACGTTGCAGCAGCAGCAGGAATAGAATAGATAGACTAGATACTGTCGGCGACAGCAGTTGCAGCAGGCGTAGTGTGAAAGCAATGGGCTGGTCGGACGAGGAGTGGAAAATATGGAGGCAACAGCAGAGAGCAGCTTCGACACCTCCTCCTCCAGCTCCTCCTCCACCTCGTGCAGCCGAGAGCTCTGGACACGGCCAGGGTTCAGCACCTGCTCCAGCCGAGAGCTCTGGTGCTGCCGACGAGAAGCGCAGCCTTAGCCTGCCACTACCCAAGGAATGGGAAGTGGACGTGGCGCCCAATGAGCGCCACGGCACCAAGGACTTCGCGAAGGTGCGGCGAGACTGCAATCGGGTGCTGCAGAGGATGTATAACCAGTGGCAGTTTGAAGTCTCTGGTACTGCAAGAGCCGCCTTAGTAAATCAAAGCACAACCAACACCGTCCTCTTGGAGGAAAAAAACAAGGTGGCTTTGCTTGAAAAGACGGTGAGCGAGCTCGAGGCCAAGGAGCGCAAGCACAAGAACAACTTGGAAAACATGAAGAAGGAACTGCAGATGGAATACGAAAGCCAGCGGCTCATGGACCGGCGTCGCGCCGACAAGGAGAAGGAGGACTTTGAAAAGAAGCACAAAGACGACCAGTGCCGTGCCGACGAGGAGAAGAGGCAGCTCAAACAAGACATGGAGCAAATGCTGGAGAAACAGAAAGCAAGGATCCTGCAACTCCAGGACGAGCACTCACGTGAGAAGAAGGAGTTGAACAACGAGCACAGGAAGAAGATCGTGCGGATCAGGCTTGAGGTCGAAGACTACAGGAAGAAGGTGAGCCAGAACACGACTCGGTGGGGCGTGCAGCTCGCCCGCCAAACGGAGGCCGCCAAGCAGGCTGTCAAGGAGGTGGCACGGCTGAAGCGCGAGATCAGCCTTGCCGAGGATCCGGGCTGGAAGAGCAGTGAGTTCTGGTTTGGCCTCACTGCGTTTCATGATTGTTGTGCAGGATCTGAAAGCTGCTTCTTTGCCGTCGGGAGGCGCGACCGAGGACCGTTTGTTGCTCACATTTGGAGCTTGGAGTCAGTGTCCAGAGTTTTAAAACACGACAGACAGACAAACAATGTGCAGGACCCTGCCACCTTGGGTGACAATGACAAGGCCGATTCGCTACTCCTTTGAAAGGTTCACTTGTCTTGGGATTGAAATTCGAGGGCCCATGTTCCGCGCAGGAGCTTGTGCCGATCTCCCCAACCAGTGTTCGAAGCCCAACGTCTCCTGCCTTCCTTCACGGCCACGGCCTCGTTTTGAACCCCGGCCCAAACCTGCTCTCATGCTGACTCATTCATGCTTCTGAGGAGATGCGTCGGATCGATCGCGTTCGCCTGTCTCAACAAGGACGGCAAACTCTACCTGTCTTTTCTCGTATAATTTAAAGAAAGAATCCTGAAGGACCCTCATCCGTTCACCAAGCAGCTGATGGCCGATGGATGAAGAGGGCGTTGCTGCGCCAAAGCAAAAGACGACGAGACACTGCTCACTGCTTGTGTTTGCATCTGCTTTCGTGGCGGGTGTTCACTGTCATGTTTATCCTGCCGAGGCTGTGGACGATGGCAGACAAGCGGTGCAGCAGTCAACTCAGGGGAATGAACGGTTCTCAATGCATGTAGAATTGGGGACTTCGGGAGCTAGGTCAAGCTGATTCAAAGGGCTTCCGACTTCCGATCAGATGAGGGGTGTCTGTCCCGCACCTACTTGGTAATTCAGGCACTCCAGCTGCAGCCACGGCTTTCCGGAGTGTTTTTTCTGGCCTGGGTCGCGAACCTTTGAACTGAGACCACGCGCAGCTCAGAGGACGCATCCACACCGTCGGAGTCAGCCCACCCGGCCCCCTGCATCCCTCTTCAATGAGACGGCCAGACATGGAAAACGCATGCAGCGCGGCCGCCCTGGCAAAAATGCCAGCGCAGATATGATTGAGCTCAGGTCACATCATTGAGTATGAGCAAGGACCATTGAGCTCAGATCACGACATTGAGTATGAGCAAGGACGATTGAGCTCAGGTCACATCATTGAGTATGAGCAAGGACGATTGAGCTCAGATCACATCATTGAGTATGAGCAAGGACCATTGAGCTCAGATCACGACATTGAGTATGAGCAAGGACGATTGAGCTCAGATCACATCATTGAGTATGAGCAAGGACCATTGAGCTCAGATCACAGCATCGAGTATGAGCAAGGACGATTGAGCTCAGATCACAGCATCGAGTATGAGCAAGGGCAGCATGGAGTATGAGCAAGGACCGGAGATCTGAGCTGTTGGGTTCGTGCTGCATATTGCACTACATGTATCTCTCCGGTTCGCGCTCGTTTGGTTTCTTCATGTGGGGGCCATCACTTATGTGTCTCGAGTCAGCATTTCGCTGCGCTGCATCCTCCGGGCCAGGCCGCTGCTGAGATTTCTTATGCAGCTGCTGCGGGTTTGTGTCTTAGTTTACATCCATCTGTGGGTCTGGTCCTCCAAGCACGCCTGGAGCTGGAGTCCATAGTGTGATTCAAGAAGCTGACATATCTGGGTCGCGGCAGCTCTTTCAGCAGTTTGTTATGGTTTCGGGATATAAAGGTTCAGCGACTGGATGCCACTGCCCTGTTAGCTGGCTGCTGGCTGTCTGTGAGGCCTGCCTGCCGCTGGCCCAGGCCTAGGCAGGCCGACTGAGCCGGTGGAAACATGTGAGCCTGCAGTCGAAGCACTCCCGGTCACTCCCGTTTTGACAGTGTGTGATTTCTGACATTGGGGCACCATGCAGCAGGCCAAACCCGAGACCAGCAAAGCCTACAGCCTACAGCCTACAGCCTCTCTGTCAGTTTGTGTTCGCTGCCTGGTGAAGGCTGCGGTGCCTGGAATAGATGCTTCTTCCTGTGCGGGCTCTGGTGCCAGTGGATGAGATCGACTGCCGCGGTCGCGTCCTTGGTTGGTTGGATTTGTTTTCGCTCCCTGTCGGTTTCTTTGCTGTCCGACGCCGATACCTTCCCTTCGGATGACATGGTCCATGGCTGTGACCTCGAATCTTGCATCGTCATTGTAGACTAGAGACTACACTAGAGCCTCGTAAAAGCCCCGTGCTTCGCATGTCGCTTGCAATGCCTTTCAGCATGTCGTGCTCTGAGCTTAGGGAGCATGCGTGCGGCATGCGTGTCAATGCGTTTGCCTCCGTGTGCGTGTGATGAAGACTCAAGCACAGCCAGAAACAGTGTAGATCAGCCCGCATCAGCCCGCACCACAGTCTAGCCATGCCGGCGATGCAGGCCGGGAAACCCGTCAAGGCAAGCAAGAAGCCGGCTGCCGCAATGTCGTTGAAGTCCACTCAGGCAGTGAAAGCCACGCAGAAGGTGACATCAGGGAAATCCGTCAAGGCAAGTAAGAAGCCGGCCGGCGCGAGCCCCGTGATGGCCGGGAGTGCCGCCTCCATGAATGCGATGGAGGCAACGACAGCTGACAAGCCCGGGCCTGCGGACTGGCTCAGCCACAAGATGATGACAGGGCCGCGAGATGAGGTTGAAGTGATGACCCTCATTGGCGGCGAGTGGAGACGCAGCGCAATGATACCGAAACGGTGGAGCTTGGGCGAGACCTTGGCCAAGCTAAGTCTGCCGACGTGCAATTCTGGTCGACCTCTGGAGGTCACACAAGTTGTCATCAACACTGTAGAGCTCTGAGTCTGATCCAGTTGGCCGAAAATAGCAGTACGCAGCACTGCCTCGTGGGGGGGGGGGGCGGGGTCGGCTGCCGACTGCTCGCATCAACATCAGGTCCAAAGGCTACCTCCGACGCTTTGGTCGTCACCTGAGATGAGCTGGTCTCGTGTAGTTCGGCGCTCCCCTGTTACAGTCCTGTGTGGTTGGATATTCGGAGTCGTGTGCTAGAGTGCTAGGTCAGGTCTCTGGAAGCTCCGAAGCATTCCGATGCAGTGTGCAGACTCAGACGGTATTTTGGATTTGTCCGGATGAATGTTACCTGCGACCCCTCTTGTTTTTGACCGTCCTGCGCACCCAGAGTCGCCCAGACCCTCACCGCTTCCCCGTTAGACTGTTGGGTTAAGGCTAAGGGATGGTTGTTATGGTAAGGACTAGGGCTAGGGGTAGGGGGCCTTTGGGGTTTTGCGGCTCGGTTCTGCATTCTATTGTATTCCCTGGCTAGGGAAGTAAGGCTTGCCCGGAAAACCTTGAGCATGGTTTGCCCGGCAATGCCCAAGTATCACGAAACTCAGAAAACAAGGATACGGAATCATACGCAGACTGCCGTGTTCTGTATCCATGACTCTGAGGCTTTTTCGAGGTGCCATGATCGGCCCGGCCGTGTCTCTTCCTGCTCCAGGGCCGGGCGCGCAAGTCAGTTCTCAGTTGTTGGTCAACGAATTGCGGATTAACTGTTGACTGCTTTTAGGCTTTAAGGTTTGGGTTTATAGGCTAGGCTATAGTGGCTGGCTATACTGCTATACTCCACCTGTATACAACATCGGCAAAGGGATTTGGGCGGGGATATACCGGGAATCCTGGTTTTACATCTCTGCACTGTATCTGACTCATATTTAATATGAAAGATTCGGTTGCGGGTGTATC